CAGCAGGAAACTATGTGGCAAATGGTAAAAACTACCCTAAATTACATTTTTTGACACAATAACAACATAAACAGAGGCAGATTTTAGACAGCAGAGAAAAGCAAGATGCTGCTTTCCAACAGAGCCATGTTTTGATGTAAGGCATCCAGTGACATGACAAACATCTGGAAACGTATCTGCTTTTCAGGTAATAGACACCCTTCTACTGGGATCTCTTGAAAAACCTTGAAGGTCCATTAAGCTGAAAGTTCATGTATCTAAGATATCAGTGGTTCTGAACTTACTCCTACATGGTGGACTGTGATACTTCCCTCATTCACATCTAAGTAGACTTGGAAATCCTCAGGGAGACTGATGCCAACTTCTGGCAATACATCAACTAGCTTGCTTTATAAATAGATCCATTATTTTGTAACACTTGACAGCCCCAGGTCCCACTTCCATCCCATTCCATAAACCTTGAGCGACCACTAGGCTCAACAGCAGCATCAGAGGTGCTCCCCAGACCAAGGAAGAAGGCCCATGGGTGGAGGTGGCTTACCGGGAGGTGGGTGAACACAGCAAAGGTGCTACGGAGAAAGCCAATGAGGTCTAGCAGGTAGTCGCTGGCCTTGCTGCCTGGCTCCATGGCCATCCAGTCGTAGTCTGCCAGCTGCAAGAACTGGTCTATCTTCTGGTTCAGATTAGTGTAAATCTCCTCCTCAGCAGCGTGGCGGGCGTCCTGGGAAGCAAGACCACTTTACATGGGATGGAGTGTCCATATCACAAGGCCACACAAGTAACAGGATGTGAGATCGACCCAAAATTCAGCCCTACATGTAGCAGAAGGCAAAGCACCTGTAGGCAACTCTGTGACTAGAACCTCAGGGTAGCTCAGACTGCTGGGACATGAGCCACCAGGTGAGGGGTGGGCATCATTAAGCTGGTGTCTGCCTCTGATGCAACCCAGGGACCAGGAGGACAAATCTAGTGTGGGATGGAAGTGAGAGAGAGATTATCCCATATGGAAACAAGTTAAGACCCATCAAATTGTGTGGGCCACAGAGGCACCTCCCTGCCAGAATAAGGGTAGAAAAACTCATCCTTAGGCCAAATTCAGAATCACAGGCTGGTTTGGCTTGGAAGGGATCTGTAAAAATCCAATCCCTTTTCACAAGACCAGGTTCTAGACCATCTACAAATATGCAGGTGATGCCAGAGAGGACAATTAATTGACTTCCCTGGGAATATAGTCTCCTGCTGAGTTACCCAAGGATAAATCCCAGCTAACCAATTCCCCACCATCCCTGGAGTCCTTAGGGCTGTTCCCATCTCCTGCTCTCCAGCCACAGGACACAACTTGGACACTCCACAGCTGAACTAATTATAGCCTTAAGATTTAATGTAAAGCATCTGGGTGGACACTCCTGGGTTATGATTTAAAGACTGGGAATTCTCCCAGCTTCTGCCAGCCCTGATATTTAGGTGATCATGCTAAAAAGGAGTTGAAAGATAGAGAAATATAAGTTCTGAAAATCTATTCTCCTCTTGGGTGAAAGGGGAGAGGTTGCCTTCATGGCCAGATGTGTGTAACACTGTACGGTGCTCAAAGAGCAAAATGAAAAGTCATTTAAGAAAAAAAAGAAATCAGGCTTTTGCTTAAAAGCTGCTTAATCCTTTAGCTAGTAAGTGCTGCAGTCACAGCCTGTAAATTGGGGCTATAAAGGCTGATGGACTTGATCTAAGTAGTGGTCTGAGGAACAAACCCAAAAGCTGGTCTGATGGCTCAAGTTTCCCATGTTATGACAAAGTGACCTTTCAGCTCAGCTTAGTTCCCTACATACACACACACACACTTGGAGAGCAGATGCTCTCCAACCAACCAGCAACAGCAAGTCCCCAGAGATGGATCTACCAGGCTCCTCACCTTGAAGGTTGTGGTCCCGTAGAGTTTCGTAGTGTGGACAGTTTCTGGAAGCACATTGGTGATATTGGTGATGAATTCCTCTAGGAATTTGCAGGATTTCTCCAAGTGGGTCGTATTTATAATAATCTGTACGAGCTGCAAAGACAACAAGGGGGTTCAGCCATCATGCTCCTGAAGGCAGGGATGTGCCAGGTTAGAAGATGCCAATTTATAAGAACTTCTGGCATGAAAAGCTGATGCTGTGCAAACACACTAAGCTTTGCTACATGCTCAAAGTCTCTCCTCCTTTAACAACATCAGAAACTTAAATAAAAGATAATTTTGGGGGGGAAAGCATTTCCCATGACAGCCACTAATACCACAAAAGCTTATTTTTTTTCCCTGACTTTCCTACATTCAGCTGTCAGTCAGGGCTCATTCCACCACAGTTCAAACACAACAGGCTTACAAAAAAATGCCATGTCACATCACAAGTGTTCTGTCTGCTAATGAACCCTAAATAACCCGTGTCTTGAGTGACACCAACGACATCACACGAAGGCATTTAACAAAGAAAGCACAAGGTTTCACTTTTCTGAGGGGGGTATGGGTGAAGAGCAGATCTCACCCTGGTATCTTCTTGGTTATCATACCCACCATTATCTGCAAATTGCTTAATGCTGCCTTCCCACTATTCTGGGACATTGAAGGCAAATGCAGAGTAAAAGCCTCTGCTGAAGTCAACCAACACAAACATTTACAATCCAGAGCAAACCAATCCAGGCTCCCACTTTAGGAACTGACTTGAAAGCATCATTAATTTCTCTGGCTGATAACTTTTCTTCCCAGCAGACATAAGATATAACCAAACATCTCCTCTGGAATCAGGCTTAGAGAGTTAGTGTTGTTCAGCCTGGAGAAGACAAGGCCCCAGGGAGACCTTAGAGCAGCTTCCAGTGCCTGAAGGGGCTCCAGGAAAGCTGGCGAGGGACTTGGGACAAGGGCAGGGAGTGAGAGGATGAGGAGGAAGGGTTTCCAGCTGGGAGAGGGAGCTGGAGATGAGATGTGAGGGAGAAATTCTGTGCTGTGAGGGAGGTGAGAGCCTGGCCCAGGTTGCCCAGGGAAGCTGTGGCTGCCCCATCCCTGGCAGTGTTGAAGGGCAGGTTGGATGGGGCTTGGAGCAACCTGGGCTGGTGGGAGGTGTCCCTGCCCATGCAGGGGTGTTGGAACTGGATGGTCTTGAAGGTCCCTTCCAACCCAAACCACTCTGGGATTCTATGAATAACATTTAGCTCAGATGTCATAAAATCATATATAGTTTGGGTTGGAAGGGACCTTTAAAGGTCATCTAGTCCAACCCCCCTGCAATGAGCAGGGACATCTTCAACTTGACCAGGTTGCTTAGAGTCCCATCCAACCCGAGCTTGAATGGTTCATGGCAAAACAGTTTTCTTACAGACACAGAAGGCATCAAAATGTTCTGAATTGATAGAATTGAACTGCTGGAGCAGGGTGTGGCAGTCTGCAGGTACCTTCTCCAAAGAAATTATTTTGAAACACTCAGAAATCCTCTGAATGAGACTAATTAATCACTGGTATGAGTGTTGCAGACACAGAAATACTGAAGTAACAATACAAAGATCATAGTGCCCACCACTTGGTAATGCCAGTAAGACCTTCTTGTTAGGTTAAGACCTTCTCTTTGGGATATTCACATGCAAAACATAGTGGCATATTTTCCCTCTCTTTTGTTGAGGGTTTTCAGGGCTATTCAAAACAGAGGAACATTTGGATCAGACATGGTAGCCAACTTCAGCTGCTCAGAGGTAGTCCCAAAAAACAGCAATGAAAAGTAGAGTAACAGAGCAGGAACATTTGTAGATGGGCTTGTTTCTGTGGGCCTTGAGAGCCCAGAAATGGATGGTGTTGCTATGTGCAAAAATTAAATTGGGGAAGTGATAGTTATGCAAGGTGCTTAAATATCTTCTGCAATCACTTTTGACAGTTTTTCTTCAAGCAAATTAGAAAAAAACTGATGGTAGAGATAACCCCAGAAGAGAGGTGGTTGTACCTTGGTACGTACCAAGGAACGAGGGGGTGAAAATACGAGAAGAGATTCAGAGATGAACACCAGACTCTGCACATCCTACACCTTCATTTTGAATTCAAGTTGTGCTATGTAGACTTTTCTTGCAAAAAATCCTCTTCAGCTCCAAAGCACGTTAGGAAGCTGCTCTCAGCCCAAATAAAAGCATCACCTCAGCACAACATGTCAAGGGACATCTACACCATCTAAACTGGGCAGAGGCAGCTGAGGGGACTATCAAACTTGGTCTGTCCTTCCTACACTCCATCACACTTTTTAAAACAGCAGCAAAAAGAAATAGATCCTTTGGGGGATGGATAGTGCAGGGATAGCTTTACATTCCTCTTTGTGCAGGGAGCCCTGGGAGGAACAGGAGGGGAGAGGAATTTGCCCCCAAGGAGCAAAGAGATTCCAGACTTGGAGATAAAGGGCTGAGGAAGCAGCAGGTGTAAATACACACAGCTTTAAATGCCCGAAATTCTCTGAAACTCTTTTCCACAGGGTATTCCCATTAGATATATATGGAGACAAATATATATTGCTCTGCAAATTCTAAAGAGGGGGAACACCAACACCAACAAAGCTTCCTCTTTCCCACAATACATCGTTTCTCGCCTCACGCAGCAACACTGCAGGGTTCCATTACTGCTTTCCAACCACATATTTTACAACAATCCTCCAAAACCAAATCTGAAGGTGCTGTAAGGAGCTCCAAGGGACCAAACCCCCTTCTGTCACCCTGCCCTGGAACTGGGTCCCCTGGCAGCCACGTCCCACCTCCGTCAGCCCAACGTTTTTCCTCTTGATGACGTTCTGTAAACAGTTGCTCAGCGTTCGGGTCAGCAGCAGGTTTGTCGATTTTCTAATCATATCATCAACTTCAGTGGAGCTGAAAAGCAGGATTTAAAGAGAGGTTTGCAAAATGCTCTATGAAAAAAAAATCACCCAGAGCCCTCATCACCCAGTCTCCCTTCCCAGTCTTCTTCTGCCCTACGCATGACTATCCGTGCACCACTTACAGGTGCTGACATACTAACATGTACCAAAATACCAACAATTTAGGCCTTTTTGTTGGCAGGGAAGGGGGATTCATGAGTGCTAAACTGACCTCCCTGAGCCTCTCCTCTTAGAGGGGCTGGTCCAGCATGGGTAAGAGCCCATGCAGCCAAGCCACCATCCTGAACACAACGCTGGGGTTTTGCATGGTCAGTACACAAGGGGAAAGGGTTCAAAGACCCACAATGAGGAAAAAACCAAATCAATCCCCCAAAATACCCCCTCAGCCTTTAAATGTTACTTTCTTTAAATCAGACTGGATGCTCTTGCAACATGTTCATTCCCTTAGCCAGATGATTGCAAGATTACAAGGAACTATTTACTCCCCTAAGGGTTGTCAGGTCCTGGCCCAGGCTGCCCAGGGCAGTGGTGGAGTCACCATCTCTGGATGGATTTCAAAGCCATGTAGATGTGGTGCTGAGGGACATGGGGCAGTGGTGGTCTTGGCAGGGCTGGGGTAGCAGTTGGACTTTGTGTTCTTAAAGGTCTTTTCCAACCAAAACAATGTAATGATTCCAACGGCAGCACTGCTGAGGTTTGGGCGTTCGGCTTTTCTGCTGAACTGCTGCTGCCCCTCCAGCACCAGCAACGTGCAACCTCTGCTTTCTGAAGGAGGTTTTTGGAAACCCACCCCAACACAGGCTCCTTTGATCTGTCGTTGGCCCTGCATTAGCCCTGACACCACGGGGCTTTATCTCTGGCAGTGCAGTGACAGGCAGCTGAGGGCAAAGAGAAGGTCCAACTGGAAAGCTGTGAAGTATTCATAACTTCATGGCTCCCGGTAAATCAAGCCCGTGACCTTTTGCTCCTTCTCCTGTTCTACCTGACAAATGGGCCAGATTACAAAGCAGGGATTGACATGACAAACAAAAAGCAAACCTTGCAGCTACCCCAGGGCTGGCGTGCAAGGGGGAGTGGTTGGGATGCTGCTCTCGGGGTGCCTGGTGGTGCAGAAGGGGCACTGCCAGCCCTTGTCCAGCTCACACCTCCCAAATTTCTATGCCTGTTTAACACTAGAGCAGATGAACTGAGCTCAGCCCTGGCCCATCAGCAAGGCTGAGTCATCTCCAACAGCAACCTGTGGTCACAGCAGCATCCCCTGACCCTGCCTGGCCTCCCCCAGCACCTCCTTCAGTCAATTTTTCCAGTTATTCAGGACCTTCCTTGTGCTGCTGCACCAGAATTGGACTGAAACCCCCCAAAATCCCAGAAGCAGTGGCAAATATTGCTCCCCATTCACCTCTCTGAACAAGTCATGCTCAGATTCCTGTGAGACAGAGAGAACCACGTTTCCCTGCAGCTTTCCCCAGGACAAGCCCAGCTGCACAACTCCCCACGCTGTGTTCTCTGATGGCTGCCTCTAATATTTCCTTTTCCCTGGTCTTTACAACTCTGCTTTGTGGAGCTACATGCCTGCCAAGGGTTGTCCACTGTCCCCTTCCCAGCTGGACACACGCAGAGCAGGGCCAGCAGCTCAGCAGGACCCAGCTCCTGAGAATTTAAATTCCATCCCATATGCCAAAGACTTAGTATGGGTCTCTTCTAGATCATCAACACTGATCCCTAGTAATTTATTTTCCTCCTGCTTAGTGGTGCCAGCAGGTCCAGGGAGGGGATTCTTCCCCTCTGCTCTGCTGAGACCCCCTTGCAGGGCTGGGTCCAGTTCTGGGATGCCCTAAAGAAGAAGGACCTGGAGCTGTTGGAGTGATCCCAGAGAAGGCTACAAAGGTGATCTGAGGGCTGGAGCAGCTCTGCTCTGGAGAAAGGCTGGGAGAGTTGGTGTTATCCAGCCCAGAGAACTGGTTTTGTATCTTCAAAGCACCTCTAACCAAGCTTCCTCTGCATACCAAGCACCTTTTTCAAAGGTTTCCTACTCTAATTTTGTTGGCTGCAATAAGATAGAAAAATCAGGCAGTACTTTAGTTACATGGTAGGTCAAGCAGCCTGGTGACCCCTGGGGCTGGTTCCACCAGAGCAGTAGGGTCTGTGACATCTGCAATGAGTTCCACATACTGAGAAAGGAAAAAAAATATGGGAGTATTCCTTGGAAAAAAAAGAGCAGGACTTGACCAGATGCTGGACTGTGATGTCCCAGATCTTCCTTGGTCCAACAGAAGAGGTAGGTGAGGGTGGCCAGAGGAGCAATGGGCAGTAGATGCTGCCTTGTCCAGGACTGTCCCAGCTGAAATGATGAACCAAGTAGGAGTTCACACCAACAGCCCAGATCCAGTGCCCAGACCAGCAGGGCCAGTTAGCAAAGAGTAATGGTACCAGTCAGCTGTATGATGCTGACTCCTGACTGTGAAGCAGAGGTTGGGTCTTGGCTCCACAGAAAGGTCAGATCTCCATTCTCAATAAGCAAGAAGAGGACAAAATCTCCAAATTAGCAGGGTTGTTGTGTGGTCTCCTTGCTACACACCTCTCGTGTCAATATGATCTACCAGCTTCATTGCCAGGCTTGCTCTACAACCACAGACCACCAGAAACACAGAAGTAACAACATGAGCTGTCAAAGGAACCACGTTTATCTCCTCTCTCCTGAGCTGGGCTTCCAGAGGTTCAACCTGAATCAGTTATTCATGCCTCTGATTTTATTTTAATTTTTATTTGATTTTATTTTAATTACTTCAATCACTTCTATTATTTTCAGCACTTGAAAACTTGTATCCCAGGTGCTTTTAGGATTGGTGCTTTGTTTTTAATAAAAACAACCCAAACCCAAACAATCAAAGTCTTGGTAGATCAGAGCTGACACCTCGTCCTTCCACCCACTGTTTTCCAAAGATATTCCCTATCTTTCAAATGGGAAATTCCACTGGAGCAGGCAGAAGCCTTTCAGTGAGTGGATAATTTTAAAGCCCTCTCCTTGATGAGCTCAAATACACCTTTTTTAACAAGGGCAGAACTGCTGAAAACAGAAAGCAGGTTTTCTTTCTCCGAATCAAATTAATAGAGCCAAACTGAAACCCAAAGACCTCAGCCCCTGTAAAGGCACATCCCAAGCTCCAAGCTTTCTTCAGGCAGTTGAAAAGCAGAACAACTTTCACAAAAGCATCGACATAAACGAGAAGGCTCCCGTCCAACAAATACAAGTTAAAAAATAATACTTAATAAATAAATAAATATAAAATACAAAGTACATTTTCTGCCACAGGCTCAGCTCCTCAGGAAAAGACCGTGGAGTATTTAAGTGACCTGTCTGGGCTCATGACAGCTGATGTCCCATATCCCATAGCAGTAGTCATGACCTTCAGGCCTCCTGTGACTGACAGGCTGACCCCAATCACTCCAGGGTGCAAGGTAAGTGACAACCAAAGAAGAAAGAGAAAGAGAAGAGAAAGAAAACTTGCTGCCGGCTTTGCAGCCAAGCTTCCTAATAAAACCTAATTCAAGCTGTCAGGGTGAAATGAAGAAAGTGTCAACAGGGGTTTTCAGAGAAATATTCCAAATGTTTGGCTAGGAAAGCCAAGAGCTGGGCTCCCTTCCCCCAGCCCAACACTGCTCCTCAAAAAGGGCTGGAAAATCCAATGTCGAAAGGAATTTTAATAACATGTCCGGGGGGATCCCTGAGGAGGCACCCAAGGGGACACTTTTCTTCCCTTCCCTGACAAACCCAATCATCTCCGTAATGGAGAAGAGCAGAAAACTCGGGAGGGAAGTGCCAGAGAGGGTTATGGTGAAACCAGCATCCGTGTGAAATCGGACCATTCCGGCGGCTTCAGAAACCGAGACGTTTCATGGTGACCCACGGGTTAAGAGCCCTGGGAGCCACCAAAGAGAACAACCTGCCACCAGTGAAAGGTTGAGATTAAAGGCAGGGCAAGAAAGGTCTTATGCTTCCACATCAACCAACCAGCTGCCATGTCCTCTAGCAGACAATGGAGAGAAAGTAGCTCCCCCAAATTACCATCCCTCTGACAAAGGAAAAGAAATCAGAACCCCAAAGAGCTTCAGGTAGGAACTGAAACACCTGACAAGTTCCCAGAACACTGTCTCAGCTTCACATCAGCACTGGGGCAATGCCCAGTGTCTGTGGCCAGGACACGAAGCTGCCAAGGGAGGTGAAACCCCCCCCTCCCAGTCCAACCTCTCACTAGAACAAAAGAGAAAAAACATCCCTCCTTTTAGACAAAATTCTCATTACTTATTTATACACCTTGACAAAGTCAAAGACATGACACTGGTGCCAAACAAGAGCATCCACTTGCAGTTTCTGGCTAATATTGTCATCTTCCAATCTCATACACATATGGGTAAAACCAGCATCAAGCCACCTTGGGATGGAGAACAGAGGGTAAACACATGGAATATTTTGGAGGCTTTAAAAAAATAATCAGATTATTTGTATATAAACTCTCAGGGGAAATAAGAAAAACAAAACCCCTAAAGCAGCAGCTGGAACTCATTAACCCACTGGGCAAATCAAAACTTCCAGGAGTTTTCTTGCTCCTTGAGGGACAGTGCAGGGGGGGCAGCTGTAGATGTTGCACCAGCCAGTGACTCAGTGACAAGTGGACATCACTGTCTTCCTCAAGACAACTACATCCAGCTATTTAGTATGACTGACTCAGAACCATCTCAGAAGGAACAGGCCCCCTCACTTTTTATACAGCTACATGGCTCTAGGTGATCCTTCCCTATATGAAGCAGCTATTTTTGAAGCCTTAGCCAGTCCTTTCTACATGAAGGATGCCACCACTCCAAGGAGACTGGCAGTCACCTCCAGGCTGGAGAGGGTATATTCAAGCAGTTGAGCAGAATCATAGAATGTCTTGGGTTGGAAGGGACCCCTAAAGGTCATCTCGTCCAGCCCCTCTACAATAAGCAGGGACATCTCACACTAGAACAGATTGCCCAGAGCCCCATCAAGCCTGACCCTGAATGTCAGAACATGAGCCACCAATGAGTGCCTGTAGCCCAGAGAGCCAACAATGTCCTGGGCCGGATCACCAGCAGTGTGACCAGCAGGTCAGGGGAGGGGATTGTCCCCCTCTGCTCTGGTGAGAACCCCCTGAAGTGGGTGTACAGTGACCAGTTCTAGAGCCCCCAGCACAGCAAGGACATGAAGCTGTTGGAGGGAATCTAGAGGAAGCCATGAAGATGATCTGAGGGCTGGAGCAGCTCTGCTCTGGAGACAGGCTGGGAGAGTTGGGGTGTTCAGCCTGGAGAAGAGAAGGCTCCAGGGAGACCTTAGAGCACCTTCCAGGGCCTGAAGGGGCTCCAGGAAAGCTGGGGAGGGGCTTGGGACAAGGGCAGGGAGGGATGGGATGAGGGTGAACAGTTTGAAACTGAAGGATGGGAGATTTAGATGAGACATTAGGTAGAAATTCTCTGCTGTGAGGGTGGGGAGACCCTGGCCCAGGTTGCCCAGAGAAGCTGTGGCTGCCCCATCCCTGGCAGTGTTGAAGGGCAGGTTGGATGGGGCTTGGAGCAGCCTGGGCTGGTGGGAGGTGTCCCTGCCCATGCAGGGGGGTTGGAACTGGATGATCTTTAAGGTCCCTTCCAACCCAAACTGGTGGTAAGAATTACTATTTTAATTCTATTGAGATCTTTCACTGCAGACAAAAGATCTGTATTACAACCATAAGCACACTCATCCCCTACCTCAGATGAAGGTCTTCTGAAAACTTCAGGCAGGCGTAGATGAATTCCTTAATCTGATTGTAAACCTTAGGCACAAACTCAGAGAAGGGGAACTTCTTTGGAAATGGTTGCTGTAAAATACAGGAGAGAATTCAAGTCAAAGAGCAGACAGTGACCAGGACTGACAAGTTCTTTCCAGCAATGTGTTCCAAGCAGTCAAATTAATCCTAGTATTTAGCAATAGTCCAGCAATGAAACAACAAGCCAGCATTTATTGTATATCATATAAACATTTCAGCCAAGTCTAAGACCAGATAATAATCACTTACAAATGGCATAAGGGGTTTGGAGTCTGAAAGGGGCTGGAAGGAAACTTGTAGCTAAGAGGGAGCAGGAAGCACAACAGGACCCTCAGCTCCTTTCCCAAACCCCTAATTCATATGAAACCCCCCCAAAGGACTCCTGAACTTTTATCTCCCACAATGCACAAGGTGTTTTGCTCAGTCACCTCCCACAGTTGCTGCCCAAGGTGAGCACTTGCTTCTACCACCAAAAGCCAAGAGGAAACAGATGTCCTACAAGGAATTCTTCCAACCAGCTTTTACCCACAGCACTCATGGGGCTGAGAGGTGCAGAGAGTAACAGTAAGAAGCTGGACCCCATGATATAATTTTTTGAGGGAAGAACACAGATTTTCTGAAATCTAAACACTTGACTTGGACTCAAAAAGCCTCCCAGTTCTCATTAAGTTCACCAGGCTTGGAGCTCACTTGCTGCCAGATGTGGAGCTGAAGGCCAAGGAGGCTTTTAAGGGACACTAGGTAGGTCAAATTTGGCTACACTTGGTTCTGCAAGCACACATTTCTCCAAAAGCCCAGACACACCACGTGGTTGGGCTTTGTTTTTTAAGTATAAGATTAAAACAAGTAAAAGTCAGTAACACAGTTCATAAAATGGGAATAAAATACCAGGGGAAGTAGGTATTTCTAGGCTCTTGTCTACTGCAAGAACCATCCAGCTGTGAGAGCACACTCTGATCTGAAAGCAAAATTGATGAAATATTGCTAGAAGCCCATTCCTCATCCACACCAGGAGAAATACATCACATGGAAAGTCTGTTTGTTCTTTTCCCTTGTATTTTTTGTTTGTTTGTTTTGATGCTGACGTTTATTTGGTTTGGGACTTGGGGTTTTTTTATGCTTTCATGTGCTGTTCTGAATGCTGCTAAGGAGGGTGTGGGGTTTTCTCCCCCCAGCAGGCACGTGGTGCCATTTTCCCCATTTAAGGATTACCTTTTCAAGTTCTGTGTCCTGAAATGGAAACTGTCCAACTATTTTCTTATAAACTTCTTCATTTGTCACTGGGATGGGACTGTAGTTATCTGAATCAAGTATATTTCTAAGAAAAGAAAAGAAAAAGTTAGAAAGACAGCTCTGTGACAAGAAACCAACCACAACTCTGTGGATTTACTGCTTGGTTAGGAAGAAGTAGGTGCCACGATCCCATGGGCCAAACCATCTTTGTTGCAACCCAGCTCAGTGATCTCATAGAATCATTCAAGTTGAAAAAGACTTATAAGATCATCAAGTCCAACCATTCGCCCAGCACTGCAACCACTAAACCATGTCCCTCAGTATCACATCTACATGTTTGTTGAACTCCAGAGATGGCGAATCCCTCACTGCCCTGGGCAGCCTGTTCCATTGTTGAACTTCAGAGATGGTGAATCCCTCACTGCCCTGGGCAGCCTGTTCCAATGTTTGACCACCCTTGCAGTAAATAAATTGTTCCCAATATCTAAATCTCCCCTGGCACAACCTTATGCCATTTCCTCTTGTCCTATCACTTGTTACTTGGGAGAAGGGCACTGACCCACCCTCACTCCAACTTCCTTTCAGGAAGTTGCAGAGAGCAAGAAGGTTTCCCCTCAGCCTCCTCTTCTCCAGATGAAACAATTCCCTCAGCTGCTCCTTGTAAGACTCGTGCTCCAGACCCTTCCCTAGCTCCACTGCCCTCTCCCAGCTCCCTGCCTTCAGCCTGCATCAAGCCACAACCAGAGCTTAATGGTGACTTGAGTCTGGACTGGAGCTTCAGCAGCAGCCCCAGATAAAGCCCAAATGAGCTTCAGTCCTCCCTGTCTCAAGGAAGATGCATGCTGAGCTACTGGGGCATTGAGAATCCTCCAGCACCTCTTCCCAATGCCCCATGCTCTGAGACACCTCAACCCTCCTGAGGTGTCCTGGAAGACCAGCACAGGATGAGCTGGTGGTTCCAGAGAACAGCAAGGGACCCTGGATAAAATATCATGCCCTGCCAGAGGGCAACTGTTTTGCTCACAGATGTGCCCACAGAAGCAGCACCTGGATATGCCATCCACGTCCTGGAACACACAGGGTCAGTGCTGGAGCAAGGACAACTGCTGCAACACCAAATTTTCCATCCTTCCCTCAACTTTCAGTGTGAGCTCCTGAATGAAACCACAACCTTATCCCTCTGGCACGTAAAACCTCTGGCCTACATCAATACTTTGCACAGACCTCACTGCACACAGAATCCTCACAACTATTTCAACTGGCTCTCCCTGGTCCATGGAGAGCCCAGGCTGAAGCTTGATGTTGCCTAAAATTTAAACATGAGCTTGCTACCAATCTCTCCAGTGATTTTATTTAGGGGCCAAAACTTCGCTATAAGGTTCATCTCAGGGTTTTGTGTAAAGAGCTTCTCACCTGAAAACTCCTGACCATTTCTTCAGCAGGGTTTCACTGTACTGGTCTTGGATCTCCAACAGCATGTCAAAGAGCTGGTTCACTGGGAAGCCATATCCCTGCAGTGGGGTGGGGGAACAGAGCAACTTCAGAAAAGAAAAGGTCACCAACTGGTGGCTGAAGGTTATTTTCTCTATTTAATCAGAAGCACGTGGACAAATTCTCTCCTACCAGCACCACAGAGGTGAACAGGCAGAGGGGTGTAGGTGGTGATTTACTGAGCTGGTAGGACCAAAGGCTATGAAAAGCTGGGCTGCGTGTGGGCAGGAGGCAGGTCCTGGCAAGGTGGCCAAGGCTTGGTCCATGCCCATGGACTGGCCATTCCACACTGAGAGAGAACTCAGCAGCCCACTGGATGCCACAATTCATGCCCTGCTATACCAGAAAAGGAACTGGGCCACCACAGCAAGCCCACATCATCCACTGACCCCTTCTGATAGACACCAGGCGCGAGCAGCACAATCACTGAGTGAGATAAAGAGGGGTCACCAACAGCCACGTACCTGGAGTGTGTCTGCAAAGAGGACAATGAGGTTCTTCAAGTCTAACACCAGGCTTGGGTCCGAGCAGTAGGACTGCAAAGAAGGGGGGAAATGAAAAAATGCATTTAGCTGCAGGAAGTGGGGAAAATCTTGCCCTCAGCCCTCCTGTGTTTCCACTTGGGTGATGATAAATCCACAGGCAGGCCGTGCAGTCTTATGATCAGCAGCTTTTATCCTAGAGCCTAACGCGGTGCAGGGCCAGGGGAGGCAGGCTGATAAGGGTATCTCTGCTCCTCAGGCACTGCCCTTGAGGCTCTCCATGCTGAATAAGGATTTGGGTTGCTCTAGAGATACCTGAAGTGTCTCTAAGATTGCCCAGGAGCTGCTGGGGAAGCGAGAGGAGATGAAGGCCATCAGCAGGCTGTCAGGCCCGGGCAGGGGCAGCGCCTCTCGCTCCACACCGAGCGGGTTGTGCCTGATGGTAACAAAGCAACAGGGCCAGGCACCCTGAGCCTCTCCTGAAGCTGCACTGCTGAGTGGCTCAGGCTGAGAAAAAACACCCTGCATGCCTACATTGCATAGAATCATGGAATGCTTTGGGTTGGAAGGGACCTCAAAGACAGGGACACCTCCCACCAGCCCAGGCTGCTCCAAGCCCCATCCAACCCGCCCTTCAACACTGCCAGGGAGAGGGCAAATATTAGTGGTCAGAGCCACCACACAAGTATTTATTGAGGGTCAAGACACTGCTTAAAACACTAGAGATACTCCTTAGTGTCATGACAGCACTGATTGTCCCTCCAGAGCCACCCCACATTACCTACAGGCCTCATATGCTCTCTAGACACCAGAGACAACCCCCCTGTGCTGAAATATGTAAAGTTTCAGACTCTGACCAAATATAGAATCAGTGCTCATAAGCTGGAAAATGAAACAGGTTTAAAGCTCACTGGAAACTCAAGGAGGAATGACTCTATTAATCAATGTGAGAGACTGCAAGAGATACTTTTTCCATCTCACTGTCCAAAAAAGAAAAGTCAGAAAGATAGATAATGCCCTAAAGCTATCAGAAGTGATAAAAGATGTCCCTGTCTGCAGCAAGGAAGAAAATCCAGGGATAAGTTTGGCTGAATGGGGAGAATTGAAAGCCTCAGTGACGTGCAGGCTCTCCATCAAGTCTCCACAGCAACATGGGAGGGAGAGCCCTGGTCTATATGGCAGCTCTAGGCTCAGATGTCTGATGACCATAGTAACAGTGTTGATAAATGATGTAATATTGCATTGCTGGAACAAAAAAAAAAACAAAACAAAAACCAACACAAAAAAAAACACAACACGAAAAATAAGCCACCTGGCAGCCACTTCATGAAGTTTGGCATCACTTAAAACAACCTGTCACAGCAACAAAGTTGGTAACACTGAAAACCACCACGTTTGTACCTGGCTGAGTCTCACACTTTCACCTAGCAGAAAACCCCACTTAAAAAGAAAATAAACACAGCTTTACATCCCAGCGGGGTGTTTATCCCCTTTCATAACACAAAAGCTTCAGTGGAAGGCAGCAGCTTTCCAGTCAACACAACGGTTGTGCAGGATGGAGCCAAAGAACCCCAGGAAGCCTCTTGTGGTCCCTCATCCCAGTGAACTCCAGGTCCATCCCATGGAGCCTCCCCACCTGCCCAGGCAGAGCTCGTGCTCCCAGGCAGCACTGCTGTCCCTGAGCAGCACTGGGATTTCAGTCACTTCAGGCTTTGTTTTTCATGAAGAAAATGACCCCAGAACTTAAAACCATGGAATTATGGAATGGTTTTGGTTGGAAGTGGCCTTTAAAGCTCAACTATTCCAACCCCCCCTGCCATGAGCAGGGACATCTTCAACTAGATCAGGTTGCTCAGAGCCCTGTCCAACCTACTGTGGATGTTTCCAAGGATGGGGCATCTACCACCTCTGTGGGCAACCTGGGCTAATGTTTCACCACCCTCACCATAAAAAATGTCTTCTCAATATCCAAGTTAAATCTCCCCTCCTTTCAGTTTGAGCCCTTGTCCTATTGCTACAGGCCCTGCTAAAATGGACAAATTGTGGTCAATGGTCAAATGCAGCTTTTTCAGCTCATTAACCAACAGGGTTTGCAGAAATCTCCAGTGCTCCCAGCTGGACCAGTACCACATTACAGCAGGTCATGCAAAACTGGAAGAAAATGGCACATTTTTTCCAATTGGCTTTGGGTTTGTTGTTTTTTTCCCCTCAAGCAGAGAAACACCAAAGCAATAAGCAATTTTTCAAAACGTCTTTGAATATTGACGAACAAAAAAAGTCTATTTAGTGTCTTTTTCTACACAAATAATTGGCAGTTTGATAGCAGCCCATTTGCTGCCATGATCTGGAAGGGAATATCAAGCAGGGCTGTACTTCAGCATGCCAAATTGATGCTTTTTTCCCCACTTTTCGAGGACAAACCGACTCCCTCTGCTGGTGCTTTCCCAAAGTGATCAGCAAGACAACAGCAAAAAATATCAAACCCGGGTTTTCTTCTTTCCAGCCCTCCAAAATCTTGAGAGCTTGGAGCAGTGAAACGCAGGGCGAGAGGCAAAAAAATAAAGCTGGAAAAGCTTTGGGGGAAATAGCAGTGTCTTTTCATGGTATTGTTTAACAAAAAGACATTGGAAAAGAGGCAAAAGAAAGAATATTCACTGTCAAGGTCAGTTGTTCCAGCACGTCAAGTCATACTCAAGCAACAGCTGCGAGATTGGGGCTTTTACTTACTGAATGTGTTCTGAGGGCTGCGATGGTTTTTGACAAGGCCATCTCCCACAGCTCATCAATGTAGGCTCTATTTACCAAGCCCTGCGTTGTGTGCAAGATGTGATCTTCAACTACAAAAAACCTAAGGGAGAGGAGAAAATGGCACCGTTACCCCAAGTCACAGGTCTCGAGACGTCGAAAGAGAGCGGTGGATCCCAGCAGGGAGGGGTAGGAGGCAGAGTCCTGCACCTGGGAAGGAACAACAATATGCACCAGGACAGGCTAGGAGGGGATCTGCTAGAGAGCAGCTCTGTGGAGAAGGACCTTGGAGTCCTGGGAGACAACAAGTTACCCATGGGACAACAATGTGCCCTTGTGGCCAAGAAGGCCAATGGTATCTCTGGGTGCATCAGGAGGAGTGTGTCCAGCAGGTAGAGGGAGGTTTTCCTCCCACTCTACTCTGCCCTGGTGAGACCTCACTTGGGGTATTGTGACCAGTTCTGGGCTCAACAGTTCAAGAGGGACAGGGATCTACTGGACAGAGTCCAGTGGAGGCTACAGGGATGATGAGGCAAGGTTGAGAGACCTGGGACTTTTCAGTCTAGAGAGGAGAAGGCTGAGGGGGGATCCAATTAATGTCTATAAATACATGAGGGCATCAAGAAGGCAGGGACAAGCTCTTGTCACTTGTGGCCTGTGATAGGATATGGGGCAATGGATTCAACCTCAAGCCCAGGAAGTTCCACCTCAACATGAGGAAGAACTTCTTTCCTGTGAGGGTGACAGAGCCCTGGGACAGGCTGCCCAGAGATGCTGTGGAGTCTCCTTCTCTGGAGACTTTCAAGACCCATCTGGATGCCTTTCTGAGCCCTAGTTGTTTGTTGGGTCTTTTTGGTCCTGCTCTTGCAGGGGGGTTGGACTTGATGATCTTTGGAGGTCCCTTCCAACCCCTCATATTCTGTGATTCTGTTTGCACATCCACAAACCTCCAGAGCAAACTCCACTATCAGCATTAAACCCAGTCAGCACTAAGCACTTTATTCACATCTCAGTATTTTATATGTTTCACTGTATTACAGCAGTCAGCTAAAACACAGCTGCTCATAGTAATGCAACTCTGAGTATGCACAAAGGCAGAATTTCCCCTCTTTAAATTCTCCACCCCACTATTTGCACAGGAACTGCTGCTGAAGCTCTGCTCCAGCAGCAACTGCATTACAATCAGCTAACTGCAGGGAAAAATACTTTAACTGCAGAGAAAAATATTTAGACTGCAGGGAAACATACTTTAACTGCAGGAAAATACACTTTAACTGCAGGAAAAATACCCTCTCGCACCCAGATACCTGATGTGCTCACAGACATTTAAAGGCAATCAGTTCACTCCAATTTCCAGTTATCAAACATACTGGCTAAAAAGAAACTGGAGTTTTCATGGCACCAAAGGCTTTAAACAGCCAAGTCTCAGCTGTGTTTTGTAGGGGAAATGCAGCCCCAGAGCATGGGGACACACGGCACGTCCAACACTGGCCATGGCTGCAATGAAATGTTAAAATTCATCTCATTAGCTGAAGAAATGTCCATGTTTTACTCCAACTTTTTCTACATTAGTGCTCTGAGGCTGCCCCTTTTAGAGCTCAGCTGGTTTTGGAAGACTTGTCAAATTTGAGTGCAATAAGAAGCTCATAGGAATAGAGGCTTGAAAATCACCTCCTTTCCCAGGAAAATAATCAAAGAATAATTATCAAATATTAAGGAGCAATTAAGGCAGAGGGGTTATTAATCTCATTAGTGGGGCAAGTAGATGCACATGGTCCACAGAGATTATTTATCCTGAAATTCCCAGAAATGCATTTGCAGGTACAAGAGCTGGCAGGTTCCTCCAAGCTCCCACTAGTGACACAGCAAAGTTCACAGGTGCTATAAAATACACTCTACAACACTTAAAAAGCCCAAACCACCTTTTTTTTTCCCCTCTTCTCATTTTGGCTCTTTTGAAAGGACTTTTAAAAAGACCAACATTCCCTCTTTTTCTTTTTGGGCTCCTCAACAACACAGCATGCACATATTTAGTGAGGATGCATATAAAAAGAATACTTACCCTACAATTTGATTAAAATACTTCCTGTAGCCATCTAAGGTTTCATGCTGCAACAAAGAAGAAGTAAGCAAAGATTAAAACAAAGGTGGCCAAGTGCAACTGGAAATAAATTAGAGACCACCCACACCAGCAACAGCAAGCCCAGAGGTAACCCCAGAGCAAGTTTGAGCACTGCAAGAAGACCATCCAAGGTACCATGTTTGAAGGAGGTTGCAGGACCAATCTGGCTTGTTTTCTTCTCTGCTTCCTGTAGTAGTTCTCAAAGGTTTCTCGGGCTCCCTGGAAAACAGAAAGTATGAATTCAGGTTGTAATACCAGTTTGCATGAAATATCCACTTGCATTTAATCATCACAGAATCCCAGACTGGTTTGGGTTGGAAGGGACATTAAAGATCATCTAGATCCAACCTCTGCTGCCATGGGCAGGGACATCTCCCACCAGACCAGGTTGCTCAATAAGATGCAAATCTCATATTCTTCCAGCACCTCTGTGCATCATTTTTCTGAAAAAATTCAAGCCAAATACTAGATGACCATGATTTTTACTCTAAATACCAAGTAAAAAAAAAAAATCAGTGTTGAGGTGTAAAACTATGGGATGAGTCTCCTGTACTTGCCTTCCAACATCCTTGTGCAGATGTGGGATACAGACATCTGCAACCAGCTTCTTTATGGGATCATAACATGGACAAAACAGCACATTTCCTTAGCTGCAGGGGCAGGGAAACAACCAATTTCTAGTCTTAGCAAAAAGAAAAAGAGGACAAACAATGCCAGAAATGATCCCACTGATTCACAGGTGCAGTGTGAGGCAACGCTGCAAACATTGGGGAATTTAGGAAAAACCTGCTTGTGTGGGTTACAGCAACTCATGAGACAGGTCTACGTATAGCTGGGAAAAATAAAACAGGTTTTTGAGCTTATTCTTTCCCAACTTAACTGCAGGTCTGAGCCTCCAGAGGAGAGCTGGTTGGTCCCAGAAGCTGAATACTTGAGTTCTCCTCGACGGGCATCGCCCACCCACGCTGGGTGCCACGGCGGGGACCTGAACCTGCTCCTCTGGGGGGGCTTTGTCTGTAGGTGGCTTGTTTTACCAAGCCAGGCTACATCTGAGCATCCCCACCCAGGCAACAAACCCAGGAGGATCCTCAAATGCCATCGACCTGCTGAAGCGTTCAGACGGCACCTACCGCCCCGGTCCCCTAGGCTATGTAAAACCTGGCTGCTTCATCCCTCCCTCCTCCACGCCCGTGCTGTTTTATGTCTGAAATTGGATTATAAACACTTCAGAGAGGGGACAAGGTCTTGCTTTGAACTGTGCCGAGCCAAAAAAAAAACAACCACCACCAACAAAAACTAACCCTAAAAAGAAGTAAAACAAAAATCTCATCTGGAATTCACAAAACAAACAACACACAACAACAAATCTCAGCTGAGTGAGGCACCAGCCATCAACCTCCTCTACTACAAAAAAAATTCATTAAAAGAGAAACCTGATGCTAATTTAATTATTCTCCATGGCATTGTACAACCAGGCTGCCTAAGCATGTCCTCAACTAGAGGGGTCTTATGAAATGTCTGCATTGAACCCTCGAGGAGCTGTGGCCCAACTTGCTCCTTGTCTTCTACAAGTGGGAGCTCAAGCAAGAATTCAGCTTTGCTGATGTGCCCAGAGTGTTCCCACCACACACTGCCATTCCCAACGGTGCTCAAAAAACCTCCTCACAACCACACACATACATTGCAAAGATTATGCAGATTTATATAACGGATTTTGTCATGGCATTACCCTTTTTTTTTGGAGCTGAGTATCAGGGGTGCACAGGATGAGCAGCTCCTCACCCGTGCCAGACACACCACCAGTGGTGCAAATATCCCAGCAAGGGGAAAAACTGGGTTCAGCTATGAATCTGTGTCTTTCTCCTGCAATCCTCCATCAACTTAAGCCTACCAGTCATCTGAGATTTTAAGAAAGCTTTTCAGAAACAGAAACTATCTGGGTTCCTACCTTTCCATGTCACACATCTTCTCAATGCTCTCAGAAGCTCTTTCCCCATCAAAAGGGAAAGGTCATGAGCCAGAAATGGGTGATCTACAGGTTAGACCCAGAACAGGGAGGATTGTTACCATTTTTATCAAGCTAAGCACCAGGCCCCTCCAGAGGACCTAACCTCCCTTCAAGCACCTGTCTCAGGCCTGGGAGCTGGTGCTTCCCATGATGCTGGTGCTGCCCATCTCTCCATTTTGGCAATGCCACAGTAGAACTCAAATAAAACTGTCCCACTCCCACCCCATCATGGACCAGCCTTAGATAAATCCTGCTGCACCTTATCTCTCAAAATCCACGCAAGTGACACAAAAGCCCTCATCAGAAAATAACAGACTAGTTTGGGTTGGAAGGGACTTTGAAGATCACCTAGTTCCAACCCCCTACATGGGCAGGGACACCTCCCACCAGCCCAGGTTGCTCCAAGCCCCATCCAACCTGCCCTTCAACACCGCCAGGGATGGGGCAGCCACAGCTTCCCTGGGCAACCTGGGCCAGGGTCTCCCCACCCTCACAGTGAATATTCTGTATGTTCACTTTCCCATCACCTCCACAAGCAGCACACACAGGATGCTGGAAGTCACCAAGTGCTGGGAAGTAGAAGCCACCAGATCATGGGGGAGGGAGCAATGAGAAGCATGTGTCCCCATAGCCAAGAGCCCAAACCCCCAGCCCAATTGCTCAGTTTCTTCACCACTGGGGACAAACAACAATCCCTATTTTACTGATGCCTTTGAGGAAGATGAAGCATCTGGACTAACTTCACAGTATTCTCTGAAAATTAAGCCTTTTTGGATTGCACTTTCAGAGGAAAAAGTGTTTTCCACAGACACAAGAAGCAAGAGTGATCTGAGCTGGAGACATCGCATGAAGGATTCACTTTAAGCCTGCCTCTCAGCCTTGGAGGGAAGCCCCCTCGGCCTCACAGGGTGCTTAAAAGGCTTGGGATGTCAGATCCTCCTTGTTCCAACTCAAGAAATGGTTTTAACTGGAGTAGAAGAGAAGGAACAACAAAGAGCTTTGAAACTATTCCCCAAAAAAGTAGACCTTATTTACATTTTAAGTTTCCCTAAAATTTATGGCCTAGAGATCTGCCAATTTGACCAAAACCATTCCCACCCCCCCTCACCCCCCTACTGCACTGCTCCCTGTATTTTCTTTCTTAAGCCTTTTTTGACCTTTCCAAGAACTAGAGACTCTCTCATAAGAGGCTACTCCAATGAAAAACTTCTCCCAAAAAGATCTCTCATGATACTATCCACATTTTTCTTGCACATAATTTCATCCTTCTCTCTTAAGTGCATTCCTCCATCATCTCTCTAGATCTTTTCATCACTCACATATTATATTCTCCTAAAAATGGGAAACTTTTCTTCTCCTTGGTGGAACCTTTAGCTCATACTGCCCAGTTCCCCACACCTGACCTATTTAAGACCATTTAACTTCTCAGGTCTTCAGACAGAAAACAGAATACAGAGTACTATTAATATTGTTTTCCTCTGGGTAAAAAACAAGAGCAAAAACCCCAAACAAATAGGAAGAAACCACACCAAAAAAGTATCCAGAACTGACTGGGAGACCCCACAGTTTATACTCATCTGAAGCACCATGTGGTATTTGTACTTGGATCCTGCTCTCCTCTCCCAGCCCCATGCCTGGTGGCTTTTCATCAATCCTGTCCTTAGCTTCAGTTGCCAAAGACAACAACTTGGGACTTAAATGCAAGGAACTGTGAGAAGTGACTTTCAGAGTATCACTCAGGATGTCCAGGCTCAGCTTCTTGGTCCAAGGAGGTCTGCCAGCATCTGCTTGGAACACACCTTGGGTTGAATAAAAGATCTTCTCCCAAATCTCCCAAGTGTTTCAGTGTGGCACTGCACCTACATGGATCCCCACCTTCATCAACCAATACTTCAGTAAAAATACCAGACCAGAGCTGATACACATGGGAGCACCTAAGCTTGAAGCAGAGCTGTGCACCCACATGCCCTACTCCTGCTCTCCATGTCCCCTCAGTGGGACACAGCCCAACTTTTTGCTTTCTTTTCCTCTCTCCTAAAATCAGTCATTTCACTCTGTGAGATCCACTTCACTTGCAGCATTTTTCAATAAACCCCACAGCACACATCTCCAGCCACACATGGCAGGTCTGAGAATCACAGAATGGTTGGAGTTGGAAGGGACCTTAAAGATCATCTAGCTCCAATCCCCCTGCATGGGCAGGGACACCTCCCACCAGACCAGGCTGCTCCAAGCCCCATCCAGCCTGCCCTTCAACACTGCCACTGCAGCTACAGCTTCCCCGGGCAGCCTGGGCCAGGGTCTCACAGCAAAGAATTTCCTCCTAATGTCTAATGTAAATCCCCCCTCTTTCAGTTTAAAACCATTCCACTGTGGCACATCCCTCCCTGCTCTTGTCCCAAGCCCCTCCCCAGCTTTCCTGGAGCCCCTTCAGGCACTGGAAGGTGCTCTAAGCTCTCCCTGGAGCCTTCTCTTCTCCAGGCTGAACACACCAACTTTCCCAGCCTGTCCCCAGAGCAGAGCTGCTCCAGCCCTCAGATCACCTTTCTCTTGACTTTTTACATGAGCTCCATGTGCTTCTTATGTTGGGAGCTCCATAATTGGATGCAGTTCTCCAGGTGGGGTCTCATGACAGCTGAGGAAAGGGGGAGAATCACCCCCCTGGACCTGCTGGCCATGCTACTTTTGATGCAGCCCAGGACACAGATGGTTCCTGGGCTCCAGCACATCATGCCAGCTCATGCTGAGGTTCTTGTCCACCATCACTCCTGAATCCTTCTGCTTCAGAATGTTTTTGATCCATTCTCCCCCCAATCTTGTATTTGTGCTTTGGGTTGCCCCAATCCAGGTGCAGGACCTGGATGAACTTGGCCTAGGTGAACTTCATGCAGTTTGCACGAGCCCATTTCTCAAGCCTGTGAAGGTCCCTCTGGATGGCATCCACTCCCTCCAGCATGTCAACCTCAAGGAACAAAGACCACTCAAGAAGGACCACTGAGGGAGCAACTCCCAGTCCCAACCTCTCATGAACTTCCAGATCTACCACTGACCTCCTGTAGGAGGAAGACACTGCTAATAAATACCATTAGAGAGGCAGTGTCCTTGCTTCTTCTGAGGTTTTCTGAACTCAACCCTTAACTTGGGGACAACAAATCCTCATGGTGGTGAGGGGAGGAGGAGGAAACCAAATCCCATTTGATTTCACCCAATT